CCTTCTCTGCCTACCGATTCCGAGCCATCATGGGTCGTCCGTTGGAGCAGTACTTCCACGGTGACCATACGCTATCCAAGATTCTTGGCAAGAAAGGTATTGACGGAATGAATATCTTCAAGAAGAACATGTTCTTGGCCGAAGATCGTATTCTTTGTTTCGAACTTGTCGCCAAAGCTGGTCAAAAGTGGCATTTGACCTATATCAAGGCTGCCAAGGGTGAAACCGACGTGCCTGAGGGTGCTGCCGAGTTCATCAGCCAGCGTCGACGTTGGCTCAACGGTTCCTTTGCTGCTTCTCTGTACTCACTTATGCACTTCGGACGACTGTATAAGAGCGGTCACAACATTATTCGCATGTTCTTCTTGCACATTCAGGTCATCTACAATATTCTCAATGTCATCTTCTCCTGGTTCTCGCTCGCTTCCTACTATCTCACCACAACTGTCATCATGGATCTGGTCGGCACCCCAGTTGTCGCCTCCACCAGTGGTTCAGAACACCACGGCTGGCCTTTTGGTGACTCTGCCACCCCTATTATAAATGCTCTGCTCAAGTATCTGTACCTGGCCTTTGTTATACTGCAGTTTATCCTGGCATTGGGTAATCGACCAAAAGGTTCCAAATTTACATATATTGCCTCCTTCATGGTATTTGGTCTTATTCAGGGATACATTTTGGTTCTCTCGGGATACCTGGTGGCACGAGCGTTCCAGCAGCCCATCGCAGAGCAAATCAAGCTGGACTCCAGTGAGGACTTCGTACGAAGTTTCTTCTCTGGTTCTAGTGCAGCTGGTGTGATTCTCATTGCACTAATCACCATTTATGGTCTTTATTTCCTGGCCTCGTTTCTTTACCTCGATCCTTGGCACATGTTTCACTCTTTCCCGTACTATATGCTTCTCATGTCGACTTACATCAACATTCTCATGGTCTACGCCTTCAACAATTGGCACGACGTCTCTTGGGGTACCAAGGGCTCAGACAAGGCTGAGGCACTTCCATCTGCGAATGTTACCAAGAGTGAAAAGAACGAGGTCGTCGTGGAGGAAATTGAAAAGGAACAAGAAGACATCGACAGTCAATTCGAGCAGACGGTTCGACGAGCTCTTGCACCCTTCAAGGAGGTGGAAGAAATCGAGAAGAAGGATGTGGAGGACTCTTATAAGTCCTTCCGAACGGGTCTGGTCGTTTCTTGGCTCTTTTCAAACATCTTGCTTGTTGTTGTGATCACCAGCGACAACTTTAACTCGTTTGGTATAGGAGTAAGTGGCTTAGTATCATGGTTTGGTTTGTACACAATGCTAACAGTTTCTAGAAATCGGCGTCTGTTCGTACGGCCAACTTCTTCAAGTTCTTGTTGTATGCCACGGCTGCGCTGTCTATTGTTCGATTCATTGGCTTCCTGTGGTTTTTGGGCAAGACGGGTCTAATGTGCTGCTTCGCTCGCAGATGAGGCGTACACGGCAAGAAAGAGTGGACAGCATTTGGAAAGAGGGAAAGCGGTGGTGTTGAAAGGGTATCATCACGGATGTCGACTTGTAGACAAAATTGGCTCATTTGCGAATACCTCTCTTTGTAACGTTTTTGTATTAAAAATTAATGCATGAGAAATATTGATTTTAAACGTATGGACGATGTTAAATGGAGCTTCCTTTTTTTCCCTCGTCACGAATTCAATGCCCTTGTTGAATCAATAATCCGAGCTGCGATAGCTAAAAGCGACTGACGAACTGGAAGGTGTGACGCATAAACTTCGGCAAATTGTGCCAAGTGCGTGCTTATCTTATCTAACCTCGTCATCAGCGGGCTGGTGGGCTGCGGTGCCTGGTGGCGATGGGCAATGACCAACACCGACATTCTCTACCTACCAACCTGCGAAATAAGGTCTCAGCACCTACGATCAACAGCCCCTCCAAAGGCCTATTGACGGGCATATCCCTATTGCAGTATTCCGCTTCTATAGCCTTATTCCCCCCTTTTTTCCCACTCCTGCCTCCTAGAGCATATCGCCAGCTTCTTTGCTTTGAGAGACTTGGGCCCCCTCCTCAGGCGGGCCATTAACGACCAGCCAAGATGTTCAAGATTTGGTCTATGGTATGGACCTCCATCTGTAAATCTCGGGTGTCTTTGTGGCTTTTTTTTCTTTCTGAATGGCGCTAATTTGTTTTTTTTTTTTTTTTTGCAGAAAAAGGAGCAGAAGCAGGCTGAGAATGCAGAGGGTCAAGCCGCGGGTGGGCGGAAGAAGAAAGTTACGGCCGCGCAGCTGCGAGTTCAAAAGGGTACGTATGCGTCAAGACTGAGCTATCATTGTGTCTGAGAGCTTGTGTACTTGGGGAGGGGGTAAGATGGCAGACTGCCTCGGTGGGAGATGCAATAACGGTTGAGGCAGATACGGGCGTGCTGACAGAATAATTTTCACTACACCAGATCTCTCCGAATTATCTCTCGGTTCAACAATGAGAACCGAGTTTCCCGATCCGGACGACATTCTCAACTTTGTCCTGACTATTGAGCCTGACGAGGGCATGTACCGCAACGGCCGGTTCACGTTTGACTTTGCCATTAACCAGAACTTTCCGCACGAGCCCCCGAAAGTAAGGTGCAGAGAGAAGATTTACCACCCGAATATTGATCTAGAGGGCAAGGTGTGCCTGAATATTCTGAGGGAGGACTGGAAACCAGTTTTGAATCTGAATGCAGTGATCGTGGGACTACAGGTATGGGTCTATGCCGCTCCGAGCTTGAAACCTGGGATAGCGGTTCGGATTGCCAAGGCGCTTCGGACCTGCTCCGTCAGATTTCAGGTCGAGGCTTTTACACAAAGCCCCCATGAGAGAACAGGCTGCTAATGCTTGGCTGTAGTTTCTTTTCCTAGAGCCGAACGCCTCCGACCCTCTAAACAAAGAAGCCGCCGAGGACTTGAGAGGCAACAGAGAAGGATTTAGACGTAACGTACGAACGTCCATGAATGGAGGAACCATAAAGGGTACATCATACGACCGCGTATCGAAGTAGATTGGCCGATCGTCGGTTCAACGTGTTGAAAACCAAGGAGCATCGCGGAATGGCAGGGTGAGGTGAAGCTATCTGGTGAGGCTAGAATAGGAAATATTCAGGGGGGTTGTGTGCAACGACAAGACGAGAAAATTTGGCACAGTCTGCTTGGGTCGGGAGTTCATCGACGTGCATGATAGAGGATGGGCATCGTTTCTGGCGAATGAGATGGTGGAGGAAACTTGACATTTTGCGAGGTTGGCACTCGGTGCAAAAGAGCGAATCAGCGTAATCAGGTCTAGATATTTATGCATTATCCAACGCTCGGGGATTTATTTGTCGCGGTTTAAACTTGGCAGACATTTCGTGCTAAACTGCTGCGGAATCGGAGCGGGCCCTAGACCCCCCATTTCACCATCTCCCCCTCTCACCAGCATCACTCATCATCAAACTTGGAAGTCCCGGCTTCCCATGAACCACTCCGTCCCCCCAACATGGCCGACATATCAACCACGCTCCCTCTGTCCCGTGCGTCCGTGCTGGCCGCTCACGACCTCATAAAACCACACATTCACCGCACCCCCGTGCTCACAAACACTACCCTCTCTGGTCTTGCATCTACGCCTCGGTCTCCCGATGATCTCAAGGGCACCCGCTTCGAGGGCAGGAGGCCGGCCAAGCCAAAGATTAGATTGTGGTTTAAATGTGAAAACCTGCAGAGAATAGGAGCGTTCAAGGTCCGAGGAGCGTTCCATGCGCTGGGCAGGCTAATGATGGAGGAGGGGTGGGTTGACGGCGGCGGAAAGGAGAGGGGAGTTGTTACGCACAGTTCTGGTAAGTTAGTTCTTGCCCGGCCTCATGGTCCCTCTCTCACTCACTCTCTCCCTCACGCATTCTTCAAGGCATGCTAACCCCGTGCAGGCAACCACGCGCAGGCCCTCGCCCTCGCTGCCCGCGAGTCCTCCATCAAAGCGCACATCGTCATGCCCACCATCTCCGTGCCGCAGAAGATCGCTGCCACAAAGGGGTACGGCGCAACCGTCTACTTCAGCGGGAGCACCTCGGTTGAGCGCGAGGCCATGGCCGACAAGGTCATTTCCGAGACGGGCGCGCGGCTCGTCCCGCCTTATGATCACCCGGACATCATGCTCGGCCAGGGGACCATGGGGATCGAGCTGCAGGAGCAGGTGGCCGAGCTGCAGTCCCGGCTGGACCCCTACGCGGCGCCTTCGAAAAAGGGCCTGGACGCCATCGTCGCCCCCTGCGGTGGCGGCGGCATGCTCTCTGGCGTAGCACTCTCCGCGGAGGGAACGGGCGTAAAGGTCTTTGGGGCGGAACCTTCCTACGAGGGGGCGGACGACGGTAAGCGCGGGTATGAGACGGGTGAGAGGGTGGCGGCTGTGAGTTCGCTCACCGTGGCTGATGGGTTGAGGACGCCCGTGGGCGAGTGGCCGTGGAAAGTGATTTATGAGAAAAGGCTGGTCAGTGGGATGTATAGCGTTACCGAGGAGGAGATTAAGAAGGCCATGAGGCTGGTGCTGGAGAGGATGAAGGTGGTTGTCGAGCCGAGTGCCTGCGTTGGGTTGGCGGTTGCGCTGTTCGACGAGGATTTTAGAGAGATGGTGGAGAGGGAGGCAGGCGATCGGGGGTGGGACTTGGGGATTGTTTTCAGCGGTGGGAATGTAGGGGCTGATGCGATTGGGAGGCTGTTTTCCGAGTAGCTGGTGGATGACGGGGCCTGTGATGGTGATGGGAGGGTAGGGGCATATTCATTTACACACATATATGGGATGACGACGCATCCTTCGGCTGCCGGCGGGCAGCGACGTTGAACGATGACGAGCAGACAGCCATGATCAAGTTCACATTGTTACGACGAGACGAACCGCCCTCTTGGTCGGCATCCAAGGAAGCAAATTCATGAAAAACGCCATATATCATATATCGCCTAGAAATTCGCAGGCTACATGCCAATACCAGACGCCCATGATGCATGCCAAATGTCAGCCCAACCCATTCAACGCCTTGTCCATCTCCTTCCTCCACCTGGGCGCATTCCGGCGCAGCGTCCAGATGCCGATATATCCAGCGACGATGCAAAACAAGGCCACTGCGGTCATGACGTATCCCACGCCAATGGCATCAACCCACGGCGCGGCCACAATGGTCCCCACGCAGCTGAGGATGTTGCGGACGAAGTTGTTGACAGCCACCCCGGCGGAACTTCTCTTGCGCACAAACTCCGTGAGCATCGTCGTAGCCGTGCTCTTTTTTCCGGTTTTTGCCAGTTAGTCCAACGATACAACTACCCGTCTGCAGTCCCTCTGACAGGGCAATGAAGAAGGGGGGCGGGCTCTAAAGGGGCCAACTTACAAACACCAGCATGGAGGAGATTCCAAAGAGGAACGAGCCGATGGAGGGCACGAACCAGAAAACCCCGTAGTCGAGGGTCCATCCGAAGAGGAGCAGACCGCAGGGGTAGAGGGTATTCGCAATCCAAATGTTCTCACGCATGCGGTCCTCGGGCAGGAGGATGAGCTTGCCGCGCTCGTCGTAGCGGTTCGCCCTCGCCGCCTCGCGGGCCATGATGCTGTCGATCCACCTGCCGCCAAAGACGGAGGCCAGGAAGTACCCCAGGCCAGGGGGCAAGTACAAGAGCCCGACGACGAGCTGCCCGAAGCGGTACGGGGCCCTGCCGAACTCCTGCTGGATGGAGACGTTGGCGACGAAGAGGGCGCCAAAGGCAATGGCGGCGAGGCAGACGGTGATGAGCACCGGCGGGAAGCGCAGGAACAGCAGCACGGCCAGGGGGTCGACCAGAAACCGCTTGAGGCCGGGTCGACCAGAACCCGCTTGGGGCCGCGGGCGAGCCGCCTCGAGCGCAGCCGGGCCGACTCCCTCGTCGACACGCGCCGCAGGGGGCCGGTCGAGGGATCGGGCTTGGCGGGCCGCGGCAGCGTCTCCGGCAGGAACAGCAGCAGCATGGCGAGCACGCAGAGCCCGTAGCCGGCGAGGAGGTACATGCACGCGCGCCAGCCGAGGCTCTGGGACAGCGCGCCGCCGAGCACGGGGGAGATGACGGGCCCCAGCAGCGGGCCGAGGTAGAAGATGCCCATGGCGCGGCCGCGCTCGAAGCTCTCCCATATGTCGGCGATGGTGCCGGCGCCGACGGCCTGGACGCTCGCCGACGCGCCGCCCGTCAGGACGCGGAAGACGACGAGCGCGGCCATGCTCTGGCTGACGGCGCACAGCACCGCGAAGACGACGAAGAGCATAAACGACACGAGGTACACGCTGCGCCGGCCAAACTCCTCGGAAAACGACGACCACCACAGCGGGAAGATGGACATGGAGAGCATGTACAGCGCCACGGAGAGGTTGGCGACGGTCGACGACGTGTTGAACTCGACGGTGAGTCCGTGGAGGGCGGCTGCAGCCATTAGAAGAGAGAAGATTTATAAAAAAAAAAAGGGCCATGTTGGCGCAAAGGAAAGAAAAAGAGAAGGGGGGGGGCGAAGTGTAATTCAAACAAGTGCGGTGGGTAGAGACCAACGGTAGAAAATAGACGACCCCATAGGCGCCGCCAGCGTCGCCAGCGCTATCGTCGCCGTGATGCCCCATTTTGTAGAATTCCTGTAGTCATACGGCCTCTCGACCTCTGGCGTGATGGCCAGGCCGGCAAACAGGCCTCTTCTCTGCGCGCGCGGCACAATGGTCACGGTCCCAGGGCGTGTCGTCGACGATGCGCGGGACGCGGCCCGGCCTCCGCCGCCGCCGACGACGGAGAGGACCCCGGCCTCGGCATCGGCTTCGGGCCCGGTGCGTCCGTCTTGGCCGGGGGCGCTTTTGCTCACCGGGGTGGCAGCGCACGCGGGCAGAGGCTTCTCGACATCGTGAGCCGCCGGTGTCTCTGTCTCTGTTGCTGCCGCAGACGCAGTGGACGGCTGGCGCGGTGTTTTTTCGTCCTGGCGACGCTCCGGGCGTGCTTGCTCGAGGTCCGCGGGCATTGGGGCTTCTGGTCCGCGGAGGGGGCGCTGGTGGGCTTTCAGAGCGCGGGGGCCGCAGGTGGCTTTGGGAATCTGGGGCGACAGAGGCGGAAACGCATTATATGTGAGACAAGGCCGGCAGAAGGCAGAAAAGACGACTGCTCTTTGTAAAAAGAAGAAGAAGAAGGAGAAGTAAAAGAAAGGAAAGGAAAAAAGAAAGGGAAAAAAAGATCTTGAAAACTAACGGCGCTATGAGCATTGCAGGGACATGGTTAAAAAAAGGGAGGAGAAACTCGGCAACGGAAAGGCCTAACGCGGCCCCCGTGTGCACCTTGGAGCTCCGAGCAGAGCAGCTGGGTTCCGAGGCTCGGCAGCGTTGGCTTTCTGGGGGTGACGAGGCTAGGGGGTGTGAGCGTGTCCATGCGCAGCCGGACATTTTTGGTCTGGTTAGTTTGTTGTTTGTCAAGTGCCTTGAATGCTCTTGACTGCGGATACCGCACGGGTTGAAGCGTCGGGATGCCACCGTGAGCGGCCCCGCTAGAGTCTTGGCAAAGATGAAGATGCCCAAGTCGGGACTAAGGAGTGTCAAGTCGCCGTGTCGCTTCACCAACCCTATTTATTGCCTTTTTGGTAGTCAGCAACGCGGGGTGAAGCGTCCCCGTTCCCATCTGCCACCGTGAGATTCTTCTCGGGTATTGTTTACTCAAAGAACCATGTCTTGTCCACATCTGGCAAACCCCCGGGCTAGCTTGGACAGATCCGGACGCAGCCTCTACACACTCAAGAGTCAAGTCCAAGACTACTGGGTGCCGGAGACGCCTTGCCATAGATGCTCATATTCAACTATGGTTACATGCTCATCTTTCCGACCATGCTGATGGCTATCTTGTCTATTGACTCCTGCTTTCGTAGCCATGGCCAGGACTCAACAGGCCGCCAATGACGTTGTGAAAAGTGACGCTCGGCAACGCTGTCCGTCACAAGCCATGGCTTCATGTGTGCATGTCCTATACTTCCCGACGGGTTGCATACGGACGGGATGAGAGACGACGGACAGTTTCGACATGTGGCATGTCGACGGCCTTTTTACAATCAAGCTACACTCACTTTTACATATATAATAGACAGCCGAGTCCCTCTTTTTATCAAGGGGCGCAAGTTGCATCGGATGGGCCTCAGCCACGGAACGTTGAATGAACTCGACGAATGCTTGAGAAACCCCTCGGCGGGGCAACCACTTGTTAACCACCAAACGTCATCGCACTTTCCGTCATTTGCTCCCGCCCGCGCACCCATCAAATCCCCTCCCCCGCGACGCAGCCTATTCCAACTCAAACAAACCCCAACCCCTCCAGAAATGTCTCTCACCAACGCAACGCCAGAGGCCGCCGCCAAGGAGGCAAAGACGGCGTCGTTTGCACTGGCTTCGCTGCCGGCCTCGGCGCGCAATGCCGCCCTCGATGCCATCCACGCCGCCCTCGATGCCGCCAGGGACGACATCCTCGCCGCCAACGCCCGCGACCTAGAGCTCGCGAAAAAGGCCGCCGCCGACGGCTCCCTCAGCGAGGCTCTCGTCTCCAGACTCGACCTCGGCAAAAAGGGCAAGTGGGACGACATGTTGAAGGGCATCTTGGATGTGAGGGATTTGGAAGACCCAGGTATGTTTTGTTTCTCGGCCAAGGAAAAGGGTCAGATCACAGGTGTAATTACGCAGACCCGCCTAACCCAGGCAACAGTTGGAAAGATTCAATTGCGGACCAAGCTCGACGACGACTTCATCCTCGAGAGGGTTTCCTGCCCCATTGGCGTCATCCTCATCATCTTTGAGGCGCGTCCCGAGGTCATTGCCAATATCGCCAGTCTGGCTGTCAAGTCTGGAAACGCTGCCATTCTTAAAGGTACGTCTGCGCCCACGCGAATTCTATATCCCCCTTTGAACGAAAAAGAACCATTTGCTCATGGGAACAATGTAGGCGGCAAGGAGTCCACCGAGTCCTTCGTCGCCATCTCCAAGGTCATTTCGTCGGCCCTCGCAAAGACAGACGTCCCCAACGGAGCCATCCAGCTCGTCACCACCCGCGACGCAATCGCCCAGCTCCTCGCCCAGGACCGCTACATCGACCTCGTCATCCCCCGCGGCTCCAACGAGCTCGTCCGCTACATCAAGGAGTCGACCAAGATCCCCGTGCTTGGCCACGCAGATGGCATCTGCGCCATCTACCTGACCGCCACCGCCGACCCGGAAAAGGCCATCACCGCCGTCGTCGACGCCAAGACGAGCTATCCCGCCGGGTGCAACAGCCTCGAGACCCTGCTCGTCCAGGACACCGCCCTCGGCACCTCGTTCCCCGCCGTGGCCGCCGCCCTCGCGGCCAAGGGCGTGTCGCTGCGCTGCGACCCAGCCAGCAAGGCGGCCCTGGCATCCCTCGCCGGCGCCGACGTCAGGGATGCTACCGCCGCCGACTTTGACACCGAGTTCCTGGGCCTAACCCTCGCCGTCAAGACGGTGGACGGCGTCGCCCAGGCCATCGAGCACATCAACACCCACGGCTCGCATCATACCGACTCCATCCTCACGGCGGACGCTGCCGAGGCCGAGCGCTTCATGAACCAGGTTGACTCGGCCGGCGTGTACTGGAACGCCTCGACGCGCGTGGCAGACGGCATGCGCTACGGCTTCGGCACCGAGGTCGGCATCAGCACCAACAAGATCCACGCCCGTGGCCCCGTCGGCCTCGAGGGCCTGACCATCTACAAGTACAAGATTAGGGGGGACTACCAGGCCACCGCTGCCTATGGCGACGGAGAGGGCAAGCGGCCGTGGAAGCACGAGAAGCTGTCCATTGCCTAGTTGAACCACATCAGAACGATACCCATGTTGAGCCAGTATAGAGATCAATATCAATCAATATATGAGAACAAGTAAAATAAAAAGATGGGTAAAAATTGTTACCCACGTCAGGGAACCGACAAGTGATGAACATTATAATAAAAACAGAATTTGTCGGGAAGTACAAGATCCCCCTTCATTTTACCCGTCAACTAATATAATAGCCCATGATCCGCCCACAGTCCTCCTGGCCCGTATCCTTTGATTGCGCCCGTCTGCATCTCCTGAACCCCCCTTGCTCCTTTCTTTCTTTCTTTCACGACTAGTGAATATACATGTTCATACTGTTCGTCAAATCCCCTCCGCCTAGGGTTAGGGTTTCTCACACACACACTCAGGCATTCATGTCATACTGCTTGATCAACTCTGCCAACTTGTTGCCCTCGCTCTTGAAATCCAAGAACGCTGCGCTCATTATTTGATATCGGACCCTGTGTGAGAAAAATTAGTCTCGAGTCCACGGACAAACATGCTCCAGGACGCTATTTTTTTTTTTAAAAAAAAAAAAATAGAAGTAAAGACAAACACAACCATACATACCTCTGCGTATCGCCAAAGTTATCCATCTTCGCTCTACACCTGAAATTCAACTTCTTGCAGTTCACGGCCTCAAACGCCGCCATGAACTTGGCATCGTCGTTGTCCTTGAGCTCCATGAGCTGGTTGGCCGACATGCCAAAGATGGCTTCGCCCGTCTCGTTGAAGCAGTTGAGCCATTGGTGGCTCGTGTGGTCTGCCACGTTGAGCGACACGATGTACCGGTAATCAGGGCGCTCGTGGGACACGCTGCACTTCTCGCAGTACCATCCATCCCCGGTCTCGACCACCTTCTTGTTGCAGCCCTCCTTGGAGCAGGCGGGGTAGCAGAAGTTTTCTTGTTTGACAAAGACGATGGTGGCCTTGATGGAGTAGTAGGCGGGGGCGTCCATGCCGAGATTCTCCTCCTTGACCTGGGCAATGGTCTTGTTCTCGTTTGCGCGGCCCCCAGCATTGCCCATGCTCGCCATGTTTTGGTGCGTGGCGAAGTTGTCCGTCCGCCCGGAGGAGTCGTACCAGCCCTTGAGGCGGTGGGCGTCGGGGATGTCGGGGTCGACCGTCATGGTGCCAGACGACAGGAGACTGAGACTCTTGCCGCCAAAGTCGGACACCTTGGTGCCCTTGAAGGCGACTACGGATTCCGGGTTGGCGTCGAACGAGTTGGCGGTCTTGCCCCAGACGGTTACGCGCACAGAGTAGCCCGTGTCATCGACCAGAGTGAGCTCTCGCTTCTGGAAGGGCTTCCCAGACGCCTTGGAGGTGATTTCGCTGACTTCGCCAACGTCCTTCAAAACGCCAATGACGTCAACAGTGTTGTCCTTTTCGACATTTTGTAGCTCCTGGATCGTGCAGAAGTTGAACCGGACCTGGGGCACATTCGTCTGGTCCTCGGCCTTTTCGATTCTCGTATCTCGCTCGAATGTGATTTCGTAATCGTTTGGTAGATTGGAGAACTGCTTCTTTGCCAGATTCACTCGACAGGGGCTGGAAATGTAGTAGACGGAACCTTCTTGCAGGAGGTCATAAAACGCGTCGCACTGGTCGTTGAATCCAGTGGCCTTGATCTCACCACTCTCGTCGAGGAGGTTCACACTGAAGAGCTTGCCCTCTCCTGTGGGCTTATGCCACGTCTTGATATCCGACTTCATTGTGACTCGCGCCTTGATCGTCCACTTGTGCTGGAAGGGTGAGAGACCCTCGATGGGATAGATGTTGCCGCCGTCGTGAACCGCTGGCCTTGAAGGCATAGCCTGCGGCTTGCTCTCTTCCTTCTTAGTTCCGTAAAAGTCGTTGCTAGCGATGGTTTGTTCTTTGGCCTCATTGGTCTCGACAGCCGTCGGGCTGCCAATCTTTTCTTGCACGCCTAGGGATTCAATGACCTCGAGGTCGAGGATGACGAGAATGCTGGCCTGCTGTTAGGCGCACGAGTTTCATGTCCGAGGGAGTCGACTTACTTCTTTCCCTTCAAGTTCTGAGGGTTATACTGTTTGACACGAGCGAAACTACCTCGTACAAGCTTTCCCTCGTGAATGACGTGGTTTGCCTGCGTTGCAAGCATGGCCTGAACATAGTGGTCGCCATCGCTCATGACCAGTCTGTATCGTTCGCCTCCAGTAGCCGAAGCACCCATAGGCTTGACTTGGAGGCATTGCATAACAGGAACGGGGAAGAGCTTCGCTGCTTTGTCGATGTCGTTGAAGATGACACTAGAATAAAAAGTCAACACATTTGTCCAGGCCTCAAACGATGCCCGACGGCAGTGAATGCGGAAAGACGTACTCAAGGGACCCCCTCGATAGGGCAGACGCGGCATCCATAATGGCTAGATCGGTTCGTATTGACGATGTAAAAGTGCTTTGCTCCCGTCTCGACGAATAATTTGTGAAGGTGGTGCGTGAGCCTACGCAGGACAGCTTTCTCAAGCGATGACCGTGAATAATCTAGACGTCGCGACGCGTCCAGCGCGTTTAGTGGAAATGGCCCCGCAGGCAGCTGCTTAAGTGAGTCAACGGCGGGGTGCAAGTGGCGTGCTGACTAAGCTGCAACGGTTCCCTTCCACGGGTGGCGCAAGTCCGAACAGCTGTCGTCGAAGCCTTCTTCTGGTAGTGATGGGTTTTACATTGGCCATTTCTTGTGTAAATTGATCTAGGTAGCCTCTGATTGATAGTATGTGAATTTTTTTTCGCAACTGTCAAGTGACCCTGTTGACACAGCGTACCATCCGAGACTCTCCCCCCAAACCTTCAAGATGACGTCGAGCCTGTTTGGCACAGCCCACTTCCTGCCACATGCCAAGTGGTCAACTTGGCCGGCGACAAGCCTTCATTGTCCAACATCTTTGCCCTGCCACGGTCGCAGTAGCTGCACCTTTTGAATACTCAAATAGCCCATCATGACTGAAGTCGACATCGCCACCAAAGCTCCCGAGAGCGACGCTCAGGAGCAGCAGACTGAGCAGAGGCCGGAGACCACCACACCTGCAGAACCGCCAGCTCAGACCGGGGAGCACTGCGTAACTGACCGACCAACTCGTGAGCACATCGTCTTGTTGAAACGCACATGCGCCGATGCTAAGCCGAGTCTCTAGCTAGTGGACAGTCGTCAACCGGTGAAATCATTAAACTGAACGATGTCGACGTAGGCTCTCACCTGCAGCAACACGATACCACACCGCTCTAACCACCTGCCAGGTCTATATTTCCAAACCAGCCGACTACCCACATGCGCACTCAAAGCTCCTCCTGCTCCTCACGGGCGGCACTGGAATCAAGTCGGTCAACAATCAAATCCAAGCCGACAAATTCGCCTCAGAGGGCTACCTCGTATTGATGCCGGACCTCTTTGCCGGCGACAGCGTCCCCTTATCCACGGCCATCACTGATTCCTCCTCCTCCATCATCGAGCAAGTCAAGCTCCAGGCCGTCGGGGTCGTCAAGTCCTTCATTATTGACATGTGGCTGGCCCGCATCACCCCGGACAAGGTCATGCCCATCCTGCGCAAGGTCAATGAGGCAGCGCAAGACCAGTACGCAGACGCCATCAAGAATGGCGAGGGGATATACGCAGTTGGGTACTGCGTTGGTGGACGGTTCGTCCTCCTGCTGGCTCAGGAGACGGAAGAGCAGGGCAGCGACGAGGAGGCGGGCGCGTTGAAGAAGGGCCCGTATATCAAGGCCGGAGCTCTGGCGCATGGTGCGTCGGTCACGCCCGACGATTTCAACAACCTGAGGGCACCGCTGAGCCTAGTGTGTGTTGAAAACGACAACTTGTTTCCCGACGAGGTACGGAAGGCGGGCGAGGATGCCATGTCCAAGGCAAACCTTGAGCACGAGGTGCAGGTCTATCCTGGCGTGCCACATGGTAGGCTCTTTTTCCCCCTGTTGCTTTCCATGAAACACTACATATGCAAGTATTGTGCATGTTAACTTGTCCCCAGGTTTTGCTGTAGTGGGCGCATATGCAGATAGCGCCATTACCGAAGCACAAACAACTGCATATGAGCAAATGTTGAGATGGATAAACGAACACTAGCTGGCGCTACTGAAGACGAGTGATTTGAGTCCGGGCGACTTTCTTCTTGTGTTTCTCAAGCGCCTCAAAACCGGTCATCTAGGCTCATCTGACCTTTTTTTCTGTTCCTTTTTTTTATTTCTAGCTACTCGTGTTTCCCATTGATAAGAATAAATCATCTTTAGGAAATAGTGCACACAATCTTGCCCGTGTTCTTCCCATCCTCCATGTACTTGTGCGCCTCCCGAATCTCCTCCCACGGCATCACCTTGTCCACGACGATCTTGAACTTGCCGGACGCAAACTCGGGGCAGTACGTCTCCAGCCGATCCCTCAGCCTGCCCTGATACTCCTCATCCCGGCTGCGCAGCGTGCTGCCCTCGATGCGGATCCTCTTGTACAGGATCTGCGAAATGTCCGCGTCGGGCACCTTGCCGCCGCTCAGCGTGCCCAGCAGGACGATCCGGCCGTCCCTGGCCGCCACGTCCAGGTTCTTCTGGAAGTAGTCGGCGCCGACAAAGTCGACAATGTAGTCGACGCCCCTGCCGCCCGTCCTGTCCCTGATCTCCCGCACCCAGTCCGTCGTCTTGTAGTTGAAGGCCGCGGTGGCGCCGACCTCGCCCGTCACAAAGGCGCACTTGTCGTCGGACCCGGCCGTCGCGTACACCTCGGACGCGCCGGCCGCCCTCGACAGCTGGATGCCCGCGATGGACACCCCGGACGCGCCGGCGTGCCACAGGACCGACTTGCCCGCCGCGAAGCCCAGCACCGAGTGCAGCGCCTGCGTGGCGGTGATCCACGCCTCCGGGACGGCGGCCGCCTGCTCGAAGCTCATGTGGTCCGGCTTGTGGAGCAGCATCTTGGAGCTGACGGCGATGTACTCGGCGTAGGCGCCGCCGTAGGCCAGCCCCAGC